AGTGTAAATGATTTTTTGTAGATGTTCTATTATTATTTCTGGAAAGAACACGACCTCATCTATGGATTCTCAAAATTTCAGATTTTTGTGCATGTTCGTCCGAGCACAAAAAATCGGCAAAGTTACCTCTAGCAAAACGCCTATTTTGTTGTGCCTGACCTCCCTGTTTTGAGAAGACGGGGCTCAATGCCTGGGCCTGAGGGCCCTTTTGCAGTTCACATGCCCTCACTTCTTTTTGGGGTCCGCTTCTACCCGGAGACCGGTCCAACGCCCCCCACTTCTTTTTGGGGTCCACTTTCACCCGAGGACCGGTCCTTCCGTTTTTCAAAAGTCCCGGATCTCCCGCAGTCGCTCTCTGTGTTGTCCTTGTCGTCGTCGATTTCCAGCATGCCTTCAATCTGGAGCTACTTTCATCATATCTTATGATTCTGTTCGTTGATTGATTTCGTCACCCTTGTTTCCACATATGTTCATTCTGTGTTCGCGTTGTCTGATGTGATTTCAAGTTTTAGAGATTAGTGGTAGTATGTTTGAAAAGATTTCAGACATTCCAACTCTTTCGTTTGATCTTCCTTACTTGCTATTATGATCATCATTACATCGTCCATAAAACTCATAACGTGGATAAGTTTCTCATCAATTTCAGTCTACGCACATCATTTGTACTCGTCGAACGCGCATACCATGTTGGCAATGGGTGGGCTAGAGCCCTTCCCCATTGGTATCCCCATTACTTGGCATAATAATGTTCCTTGTACTTTGAAGTTTGAAGTATGCGTGTTTGATGTCATAGTACAACAAATCCATTAGGCACTCAATTTTTAATGTTCTTCATCCGTAGGTTCCGTTTGTTTTTCCAAAGTTCATGTACTTTCCTCTCATCTTGTAACAGAAGTGGGTTTTTCATTTTTCTTTCACCGTTTTCATCATCCATTGCATGACGTTTAAGATATGTGTATGATCGAGATTCGAAAACATATCTTTGACGTCGTATGTGGAGCAGATTATCGTAGCTATATCCCCGTATGTTTCTTTTGTTACTTGTTTGCATTTCTTCAGTCTAGATAGTAGTTGGTTCGTTCCTTTTAGTGAGAAACTAACTTTCAATGCTTGATACATGAAGTTGATAGCTCTTTATAGTACCTTCGATGCTTTCCGAGATGACTCCTTATATGTCGACACAATTGGTCGGCGTTTGGTGACGTCCTTGTTTTTTTGAATTGTATACGCATTTCCGTATGATCCCTGTTCATCTCATTCTGCGATTTTCTTAAACCCATATCCATGATACGTATTTTTGACCAATTGAGTGATCTCAAATTCCGTTTGTTGTATAATTTCGTAGTGATTCGATTCCAAAAAGAATTTTTGAGTTTTCTCGTACCAGATTAGGCCTTCCCCTCCCTCTCTCTCTATTTCTTTCTCTCTCTCACACTCATACACAATAAATGGAACAAAACTCTCTCTCTCTCTCTCTCTCTCTTGTGTTAGCTCTTAGTCTCATTGATTTGGCTACCTTAGGGCTGCGTTCCCTGCGCCCACGCGGTAGACATATTTATCTTCCGGTTATACTATGTTCCCCCCCCGATGGAACCCCACTTTCAAAAGTGGTCCGTCACATAGACATCCCCCCCCCCCTCGCCTTCCTTCCAAATCCCACCTCCGGTCCTTCAAAAGTTGTAGTTTCTCCGCAAACGCGAGCACATATTCTCTCTGTACTGTGTCCACTCACGAAGCAGAACTACGATTGACTTACCGTGAGGGCATGGATGCGCAACCCGAAGTTTGTATATGCTTGATTGATAAACACAGAGAGAGAGAGAGAGAGAGAGAGAGAGAGAGAGAGAGAGAGAGAGAGAGAGAGAGAGAGTCCGAAGTGTCGTTTCAACCACTGCCCAAGCCTGAGCACTTCATCGGACGGAAGTGTCGTTTCAACCACTGTCCAAGCCTGCGCACTTTCGTCGGACTTTTCAGCCCCTGCTTTGCCACCGTTTCAATTTCTACCAAAACCCGTTCCGACCAAAACCCAAAACGTGGTCCCACCGGCAGCTACTGGTCCCTCATTTTTCAGACAAACTGCCACCCCCCCCCAAAGTGCCACACCTGCACCTTCCTGCATTTTTCGAGCCTTCCAACGACCAAACGACCCGACCGGTATAACGAAGGACGAAAAAATGTCTCCATGTCTCAAAGGGGGAAAAACGCACCCCTGACGGGCTGCGAACTTGACTTGAAACAAGCATTAGGGCCGAGGTCCCATTAGCAAAAGAATTGGACAGCCCCCGAGTCTGCATGTGGTTTACGCGGAAACGTACTAGAAAACCAAGTTAATCGATATTTTCTGCACCTTTCCACAAAACCATCCACATTCAGGCGTTAGTCTCATTGTCTTTGGCCGCGGACCTCGCCCCAGGTATGCCGGACTGAAAGAGCGAAAGGGGAATTCTTCGCTGCGGATGAAGGCCAGCATGGACTGGACTGGACTGTGGAGGATTCGCTGCAGAGAATGGGCGGGTGGTGGCATATTCTCTTTTCGTCCTCGCCGTGTGGAAGTTCTTATAGCATCTCCTGGAGACGGGGTGGATGCTAGGCTATCCGTGCGAAACAGCTGACAGCGAAGTCTGCCATCACTCCGCGTTTCTTCGAAATTTTTGATGTACCAAAGGCCTTCAACGTACAAAGAAACGCCTCATCGCACAACTAATCATTGTCGAACAGAGAATCGGTTATCTGATGGCATATACCACGAACGCCATACTCCTTCAGGGCCCGGTCAAGGGGAGACCGGAGACGAAGGAGATGGTGATGTGTTTACAAGGAGGGAAATCTGTGGATATGGAGGATGGGCATGGGGAAGTGGGGAAAAGGCAGGAGCAGCAGCGCGTGCACGGACAGGAGCAGCCGGGCCCGGAGTTTGGGGTCGTGGTGGAGGGGGAGGGGGAGGAGGAGGAGGAAGAGGAGGAGGAGGAGGAGGAGGAGGAGGACTCCGCCCTTCGAGCTCTGTGCTTAATCCTCTGGCGGCAGAGTTTTGCCCCAACATCAACAGCGACGACGGATCGGGGCCTGCATCTAGAACCTTCGAAAGGGGCCCGAGTGCGGCGGCGCCACAGATTGCAGGCAGCTATCTCGTACACCTTGCTCCATCCGTTTCATTTTCATCCCCCTCTCTCTTTTCTCTCTCGTGCATCTGGCTCATAAGTGGTCCATCCGCTTCATTTTCATCTCCTTCTCTCTTTTCTCTCTCTCTTCTCTCTCCTCTCTCCTGTCTCCTCTCTGTCTCTTTCACTATCTCTTTCATCTTGCTCTTTCTGGCTCATAAGTGGTCCAATCGGCTTCATTTACACCCCTCTCTCTCTCCTCTCTCTCTATCTTCCGTCTTTCCCTTCCTCTCTGTCTTGCTGTCTTCTGCAACCTGCCCATCCGTCTTAATGAACGAGCCAGGTAGAGGTGGTCGCTCATTCTAGACTGTATGTATAACAACGACATACAGTATTTCGCTCCTGCGACCCGCCCATCCGTCTTTCTCTTTCTCTTCCTCTCTGGCATGCCGCTATTTTGGGCCCAGCTGCGTATGTGCACGCGACGGTCTTGAGACGCGTTGTTGTTCCCTTGGAAGTTTCCCCGTTGTTGGCACATTACGGTAAGTTCATTTTAGTTTGCGTTGCTGTCTTCTCGCTCGCTCCCGCGCTCTCTTTTCTCTCGCGCTCCTTCTCCCTCTCTTGACGCTCTCTGACTTTCTCTTCATATCTCTCTCTTGATTGTCCTCCGAGTCCTCTCTCTCCCTCTCTCTCTCTCATTGCTGTTCCCTCTCCTTCCCTTGTTTTATCCCTCTCTACCGGTTTCTCTTTCTCTGGAGCGCAATTTGCAGCACGCAAGTGTCGAAACCAGAGTTCATACCAAGCGAGCGTATTCTTACCTGTGACTTTCTCCTCGTTTCGCTCCTGAGATGTATTCTTTCGTTAACCCGTCTTTGAGCCGCGTATTCTTTCCATCTATCTTTACATGTGATCTGCTGCTCATCGCACCTAATAAGAGGTCGTACACAAAAATATGATGTCTACCGCTGCTCTTCCTTCCTCTTATTCTTGCAATGTTTCTCGTTGTACTTTACGATCTCTTCTCTTTTCCGTTGGATTTGGTCCTCTGTTCTGATATCTCTTTCCCTGTAATCGCTTTGATCCTCTGTTCTGATATCTCTAGTATGATTACAGTTGTCGGCACTCTCCTGACATCCTCTCTTGTCGATCGCGTATTCCCTGATAAACGATATAACCATCGTTTGTTTCCTGATTTGGACATAAGTATCGCTTATTTCCTGATCTGGACATAACCATCGCTTATTTCCTTAACTCATTTTGATCTCTTTCTCTCTCTCTCTCTCTTTATCACCACGGCAATCTGGTGGTTAGTTATCCTTAATTCATTTTTATCTCTCTCTCTCTTTATCACCAAGGCAATGAGTTCATGATCGCTTGCAATAATTCGTTTTCATTTTCATTTTCGTTATCGTCTTTCACTTTCTTCCCTGGCTTGCCTTCAACTGGCAACATTAGATTTTCATTTTCGTTACCGTCTTCCCCCGAACACAACGCACCCTCATTATGAATGTACAGAGGCTAGATTTCTGATTCGATACACTCAAACATTTTCGTTACCGTCTCCCCCGAACACAACGCACCCTCATTATGAATGTACTGAGGCTAGATTTCTGATTCGATACTCTCAAATGAGGGTGCGTTGTGTATAGGGGAATTTTCATTTTCGCTACCGTCTTCACGCGAATAGAACGCCCGGTCATTACAGCTGTATCTGGACTGAAAGTTGCAACAAATACGGCTGTAATGACCGGGCTTTCTATTCGGGTAGATACGGTAGTCTCGAGTCTGTATGTCAGAACAGCCAAGGCCAGAAGGACCCTCTTTACTCAGGTGGTGGATTGACAGGTGGATTGACAGGTGGAGCGATGAGCCCCCCCCTTGATATGCACTCAGGAGGAAATGCAGAAGAACCGCAGCGTGTGGTCCCCTTTCGCGAAAGGCGGCGGGAAATGCACCTGGCGTCTTTCTGAACCGCAGCGTGTGGTCCCCTATATCCGAGTTGGGCTAACAAGACGTGGTCCCCTCTATCTCTGCTCTCTTTCTCTCTGCGTGTGGCCTCTCCATCTTATTCTTTGCTCTCTTTCTCTTTCTCTCTGCCTTTTGTTGGTTTTCCTCACCTCATCCGTCTCGCTCCACCGCTTCGTGTGACCCCCTCTATTTATTCTATCTTCTCTCTCTCCTCTCTCTTTTGTCGGTTATCCTTATCTCATCCGTCTCGCTCTCGCCTGACTTATCTCTACCGCTTCTTTGAGGCGCCGGTCTCTGACTTGCAGTTTGTCAGTATCGCGGCTCTTCCCCCGTCTTTACCGTTTGCCATGTATCGCCCTTTCTTGCTCAGAGGATCAATCTCTTCTTTCTGTTCTCGCTGTCTTCTCTCTTTTTTTTCACTCCCTTCGCGTCTCTTTATGTCTACTCTTCTCTCCCTTCCCCTTTACTCGTCTCCCTCTCTCCCTTTACTCTTCTCTCCCTTGCCATCTACTCTTCTTCCCCTTGTTTCTCTCCTCTCATGCCTTACCGTCTGCCCGCGCGTTTCCAGTGTGTCTATCACGTCCCTCTGCTCTCGGTCTGTCGCATGCCTTTGGTTCCTCTGCTCTCGGTCTGTCGCATGCCTTCGGTTCCTCTGCTCTTGTTCTCCTGTCTTCCCTGTCATTTGTGCTTCTATCTACCATGTTCTTCTTGTCGTAGTGGTCCATCGCAATGCCCTGCCCCCCCTCGTTTCTCTTGTTTTCCCTGTGTGTTCTATGTTTCTCTCTCTCTCTCTCTCTCTCTCTCTCTTCAAGTTGAGCCTCTCTCCGCTGTTTACATCGTAGTCTCTCCTTTCTTCTCTGGTTTGATTTGTGTGTGTTTTCTACCTGGGCGCTCCTTGCCTCCTCGGTTTTGTGTTTCTCTCGTGTTATTTTCAGCCTTTCCCTCCATCAGCCTGTTTGGAACTTCTCGCCGCTTTCTGTCCCCTCTCTGTGTTGGTAACCACCATCTGGGGTATCTCCCTATTCCCCCTCTTCCCCCCACTCTCCTGTCTCACGTCGTTGCTTGTCCCTCACCCTCGTCTTCGTCTCTCTGCTATCTGCTGATCGGCGCTTCGCCGTCTGCGAGCCGTTTCTCTGTCGTGCTCTGGTCTGTGTGCCTACACAACTCTGTTCCCTCTGTTTTCTGTCTCCGTGCAACGTCCATAAGACGCGCTCTTGGCGTTACCCTTTTCTCTCTCCTGCTCTGCTCACGGTCCTGTGTTCCTCGTGTTTACCCCTCCGTTTCTCTCTCCTTGGAAGTTCTTCCCTCCCCCCACCCCTCGTGGTAATCCCACTTGCGGAATCGGTTTCCCCGGTTTGCCCCCTTGGCCTCCGCCACGTCGGGCGCCCCACTGCCGTCTCCGCCGCTGCCCCCAACCCCCCGTTTGCTTTCTCCCCCGCGTTCCGCAGCCTCTCCTCTTCTTACGTGCAGTCTCTCTCCTCCTTTGTATGTGGTCTCTTGTCTCTGTCCTCTGTCTGTCCCCCTGTCTCTGTTGCTATGTTTTTCCCCTTGGCCACGTCGTGGTCCCGTTGTCTGTACTCTCCTCTCTTCTCTTATACACATCTAGATGTGTATAAGAGACAGGTCTTTCATCATCCCACTCCTTACCGTCCACTCTGCGTTGGGTCATTAACGTTGACTCCGTTTGACCATTGCACTGGTCTCTCCCTCTCTTGTTTCCTGTTCCCCTCTCTGCTACCATCTTTCTCCCTCAGCGCACCCCGGTTATGAATGTATACGAGCTATTTTTCTGGTCCGATACAGTCGTGATGAAGGTGCATTGTGTTCGGGGGAAGAAGGTAGGCACCCTCTCTTCGTCTCACCTTCCCTCTCTTCCAGTCACCCCTCGTCCTTCGACTTGCCCGATCATCATCCCACTGCTTCTTACTGTTCACTGTGCGTTGGATCATTAACCTGTTTGGCTATTGTACTTCTCTCTCCTTCTCTCACCCTCATCCTCTCTCTCCTCGTCGTTGTTCCGATTATGCCCCTGCATCGTCTTACCGCTCGTTCTCTTTTTTTGTTTTTTTTGTTTTCACTCTTGACTTTAACCTGTTGCCTTCTCTGTACGCTATTAAGCCTGTCTCTTATACACATCTAGATGTGTATAAGAGACAGGAGAGAGAGAGAGAGAGAGAGAGAGAGAGAGAGAGAGGATGCCGCTCCGTCCCTTTGACTGGCCAAATGCTGAGAGTTCATACGATCTTCGCCCTCGTATCGCCATAACATCTCCGTTCTCCTTTCTGCCCGTTGTCATTCCGCTCTCCTCATTCCTTCGCTCATCATCTGATCTTTCTTTTCCAGCATGGCACTGCTCTCTTCTTCTATCCGTCTTCCTCTCACCCGCCCTCTTCCACTCACCTCTCTTTCTTGGCTGTGTCTTTCATCATCCCACTCCTTACCGTCCACTCTGCGTTGGGTCATTAACGTTGACTCCGTTTGACCATTGCACTGGTCTCTCCCTCTCTTGTTTCCTGTTCCCCTCTCTGCTACCATCTTTCTCCCTCAGCGCACCCCGGTTATGAATGTATACGAGCTATTTTTCTGGTCCGATACAGTCGTGATGAAGGTGCATTGTGTTCGGGGGAAGAAGGTAGGCACCCTCTCTTCGTCTCACCTTCCCTCTCTTCCAGTCACCCCTCGTCCTTCGACTTGCCCGATCATCATCCCACTGCTTCTTACTGTTCACTGTGCGTTGGATCATTAACCTGTTTGGCTATTGTACTTCTCTCTCCTTCTCTCACCCTCATCCTCTCTCTCCTCGTCGTTGTTCCGATTATGCCCCTGCATCGTCTTACCGCTCGTTCTCTTTTTTTGTTTTTTTTGTTTTCACTCTTGACTTTAACCTGTTGCCTTCTCTGTACGCTATTAAGCGGGACTCGAGTCATAGCCTCTACGTTTGTGGCGGTGAAAATCTGGCGGTGGAAATGCGGGACTCGTCATCACCTTTGATTGATTGATTGCTTTCGATTGATTGATTGATTTGATTGGTCGATTGATCGATTGGTCGAT